CGGTATATAGACTTCAGTATGTACTGGACCCCGTTGCATAGACTTCAGTATGTACTGCACTCGGTTATATAGACTTCAGTATGCACTGGACCAAGGTATATAGACTTCAGTATATACTGGATCTCGTTACATAGACTTCAGTATGTACTGGACCCCGGTATATAAACTTCTGTATGCACTGGACCCCGGTATTTAGACTTCAGTATGCACCGAACCCTGTTATATAGACTTCAGTATGCACTGGACCCCGGTATATAGACTTCAGTAGGCACTGAACCCGTTATATAGACTTCAGTATGCACTGAACCACGTTATACAGACTTCAGTATGCACCGAACCCCGGTATATAGACTTCAGTATGTACTGGACCCCGTTGCATAGACTTCAGTATGTACTGCACTCGGTTATATAGACTTCAGTATGCACTGAACTCCGTTATATAGACTTCAGTATGCACTGAACCCCGTTATATAGACTTCAGTATGCACTGAACGACGTTATACAGACTTCAGTATATACTGGATCTCGTTATATAGACTTCAGTATGTACTGGACCCCGGTATATAGACTTCAGTATGCACCGAACCCCGGTATATAGACTTCAGTATGTACTGGACCTCGTTGCATAGACTTCAGTATGTACTGGACCCCGTTGCATATGCTTCAGTATGTACTGGACCCCGTTATATTGACTTCAGTATGCTCTGGACCCCGGTATATAGACTTCAGTATGTACTGGACCCCGTTATATAGACTTCAGTATGCACTGGACTTCGGTATATAGACTTCATTATGCACTGGACCCCGCTATATACACTTCAGTATGCCCTGGACCCCGTTATATAGACTTCAGTATGCACTGAACCACGTTATACAGACTTCAGTATGCGCTGAACCACGTTATACAGACTTCAGTATGCACTGGACCCCGATATATAGACTTCAGTATGCACCGAAGTCCGTTATATAGACTTCAGTATGCACTGGACCCCGGTATATAGACTTCAGTATATACTGGACCCCGTTGCATAGACTTCAGTATGCACTGGACCCCGGTATATAGACTTCAGTATGTACTGGACCTCGTTGCATAGACTTCAGTATGTACTGGACCCCGTTGCATATGCTTCAGTATGTACTGGACCCCGTTATATAGACTTCAGTATGCACTGGACCCCGGTATATAGACTTCAGTATGTACTGGACCCCGTTATATAGACTTCAGTATGCACTGGACTTCGGTATATACACTTCAGTATGCCCTGGACCCCGTTCTGTATAATTCAATATGCACTGGACCCCATTATATAGACTTGAGCATGTACTGGACCCCGTTATATAGATTTCAGTGTGTGATTTAATCGTCAGTATGTGTTGTGTGTTTACGAAATGAGGAAGTTTTAATAAAGTATTTTTATTCCTATATAGAAATTAATATGGCAACACTCGTCATCAAGATGACAGGAGCTTTATTTACACTATTCTGTAAGTAAAAGCAAACAATATTTTTAAAAATATAAGTGTCACACTGACAGTCTGAGACAGTATTTGGATTTTGTGTACCATTTACAAGTATGGTATTTAAAGTTTTCTTGTAAAATATGTTCATGCAATTGTTTGAAAACAGAAAACATTTTATTCGAGCATATATGCCTTAACTAAGAATAGTTCCCCTTCTGTCAAGATGTTACACAATATGTCACTGAGAGGCTGGTGACACGCCTGCATGCAACCAGAACCTCCGCTTCATTAGTTACAGGCTACAGAACGGTCTGACTATAACTATATATAATTCGGGCTAGGTGTCATTAAAGTAGTGTCGGTGCTGGTAAAACTACATGCCCAGTTGAAACGCATGCAGATGCTGTTCTCGATGTTCCAGCTTTGGCAAATTGGAATAAAAACATCAAACACATTAACATATCAATCATAATCTAATCTACATTATGCAGTATATGCGTCTTGACAAATCATTCTCCACATTCTCCCACAAAACCTTTCGAGTGGTTTACAACAACCGAGAGACTGCAGTGTGCCGCTCGCTGTTTGCCGCGCTTTGGAATTTTTGTACAAATGACATGCTTGACTGAACCTTGACTGTACCCTGACTGTACTTTGACTGTACCTTGACTGCACATCACAAGTTGTGAAAAATAGACTCAAAATTAAAGAAAAGGGGAGTTGGGCGTTGGAAAGTTGAAGTCAGTCCTTTTGTCGGTCTGAAGCTTTATGGATAGAACTGAATATGAAACAAAGAGGGTGGTTTAACTGGTCTCTTTTATTCCCTGGTGCAGATGGGTAATTCAGTGGAAGGACATTGGCTATTTCAAATGCATCATATCATCGATTAAACTAAGCTAAAGTGAAATCATAGTTTTATACTTCGGTTAAAAACCTTTCAATTTTCAAGAGTCATGTGTTAGAAACGTCAGGCTCGTAATATACAGAATGTTATACTGGAGAACTTTTTAAAAATACCCAGTTTGCCGTAATATGATTTTTTAATTAACAGCATTCTTAAGTCAAATAATGATACTCAGTGAAGTCTATGTAATAGTGCACACTGACGTCTATAATATATAGGCATATATAGATATAATATAATGGCATCACACACATATTGAATCACTGTAAATGACGTGAAGTCTATATGATATCCTTTACTCAGAGAAATATTACCTATATGATTAAATACTATGTCCCAAACAATAATAAGTGTATTTATAAGTCCATTCGCTAAGTGAATGCTGATAACACTAACAATCTGGGCCCCGTTCCTCAAAGCGATTGTAACACTACAATAGTTGTAAATCACTACAATTCAATTGTAACTTTAACTTACAATCACTCCAAAGCAATTGTAAGTTACAATAGTTGTAAGTTACAATCAATGCCGTAAGTTGCTTATGACCGTCTGTAACTTCCTTACGATCGATTGCTGTGTATGAACAAGATGGCGGTGTAATTCATAAACAAAGGAGACAGAAATTTGGCCCTGAGAGGATATTTCGATACCGTTGTCGTGTTCTTGATGTTTACAGTGACGCTGTAATATTTTCAAGGTACAGAATGACGAGGGCTTCCATTCTGAAACTGGTAAGCATGCTAGAACCTGGGTTATCCTCGGACTCCCAGCGTTTACATGCACTATCCGTAGAAAGCAGGATTTTGATTACTTTGCGATATCTTGCTAAGGGTGGATTATTTTTCGTCTGCTTGAAAGGGGAAGCAACTCTCACGAACCGGAAGTAATGTAAACGCATTATATCTAACGATTGTAATTTACGATCGAAAGAATTACAATCGCGATACTTACAATTCCCTTACAATAGCTTTGAGGAACGACAATAAATTCTTATTTACGATAATTGTAAAGTTGATCGTAGGGCTTACAACTGTTTGTAGCTGCGATCGCTTGAGGAACAGGGCCCTGATTATTATTATTATCCAGGATAACTAAAGCTGCTTGGAAGGTTGAAAGTCACGTGAGTTATCCCACCGGGTACCCATTTTCTGCTGGGTGAACAGTGGCAATTTTGAACAAACTCACTTGCCATGCTCTACACGGACTACAAATACATTGTTCAATGATCACAAATTACAAATCTTAATTTTACCGTGGTAGTTGTTTTGAAAACTCGATTAATCTAAAGTTGCTAATTCTTATAAAGTCAGCAATTAGTGGTTAGATGCGTGACTTTGTAAATGTTGTATAACATGACAACCGAGAACTGCTCGTGCTATTGGCCACTTTTTGCCAAGTGAAGACTTCTGTATGTACTGGAGGCCATTATATAAACTTTTGGGACATAGGTTCTCGTAAGGCATTTAGAAGTTGGTATTCAAGTAAAAGGCAAATATTATGGATATCGTTTAAAAGCATCATAACCATGACGCCCTTGACATGTTCAGGGTCGTACCATGGGTGGACCTCGGAGGCATGGCGAAGACGCTAATAGGAGCAACGTGTCTTTTAAGATATGCTTTTGTGTCAAGGAAAGGCATCCACTGACAAGGTGTTGGAAAGTCTCCGTACATTCATTGCACAGTCGACATTTCATATTGATATTTTGTTTAAGAATCACATTTAGGCGATTGCGAGTGCGAAGTGACTGGTTCTGAGCAGCAAAAAAGAAAGCCCTCAGTTTCACATTTAAGACTAGCCGACTTCATCTTGGCGAAGGAGTCAGTTGGATTGCTATTCTCTTCCACATGTACACACTATGTACACACGGTGCAGTGGTTTTCCCAGAAAGCTTCTGCACAAATAACCGACTCTGGGCAGACTTGGTGAAGGACTTCACCTGGTTTACTCCCATCGCTGTACCGTCCAGCAGTAGATAGCTATCTTTTATTACGAACATAAAATGTTTTCTTCACATAGTCATAAACTTTATTAAAGAGGAAAATCCATCACCAAAACATTTCAGCCAAAAGTAATTCAGAGAAACAACGTTGACACAAACATGACACAAACATGATAACACATGTATCTACGATATGCATAGAGCATAGACATTATCTCCATTCAAATACTCCTGACCATTATATATATATCTGTCACACAACACAACAATTCACACACACACAAACACACACACACACACACACACAAATATATTACTACGCAAGACATCTTTACAACATTGAACCCCTACAGGTTGATTGTCAAAATTTCAGAAATATATGAAATTCAAGTTATCTAATACCCTTAGCTCTTCCATCACATAGGTCCATCCGGTTCAGAGTTGATGCCGGACACGGTCCACCGGACAGTACGTCAGATAGAAGGTTTCTCGAGGGAACAAAAATAGTTTTTTTAATGCTGGTTAAACACTTCTTTCTTTATAGCTATATGATTCTTCCTTGCGTGAGGCTTGTCAGAGTGTGAGGAACATTGGTATGTCTTCCAACTACATTTTACTCACCATCTTTTATCACAAAAGTAGCGGGTCATTTACTGAGAAGTAATGGTCAAGTTAAAACCGCTTTGGCTCAGAGCCCTTAAGTGACCCTACAGTGACAACGAACATTTTTCGTGGAAATTGTGATATGAAACGTTTGGAAAATCTAACCATAAAAATCTAACAGCTGGTCCCATATGTTATGTTTTGCTTCGTTTGTCGCTTTGTTTCCTGAAATCTTTTTACCTCTTATAAATGATATGGGAGAAGCTGCCTTTTCCCTCCAGTGTGTAAACCCTTCCACATGTATCTGCGTTGCGTTGCAAGAAACACACATTATTCCTGTTATAAATACATCCTCTATGAAGAAGTACGGAAAGAACTTGGCATTTGCAAGTACACATCTCACATAATCCATAGTCATAACATAGGTATTTCCTGCTGCATATCGAGGATACAGATGGAAAGGGTAGACAACCCTTGGTATGCCCCATTTGCCCAGACGGAACACAGTTGGATGCATGTAAACGAACCCAAGAACAGTGTTCACCGGCTTCAGTTGTGTCAGTAACCTACCAAGACGGTCAACATCTGTAAACGTGTCATCGTCAGCCTTCAAGACGTATTGTGTGCCAGGGTAATACTCAGCCACGTACTTTAGTCCTGATAACACTTTCAGTGTAAGATTCTTATATGAGTCGTAAAAGTTACCTTGTAAAATGTCCCCATAGAGTTTGCTTTCTTCCTTTAGGATAGCGTCACATTCCTTGCTCCCTGTATGTCCAAATAAAAATATAATTTTTATGTTCCAAGTCAGATTGCTTCCAGGCCACCTTTGTCCATAAGCGACACTCCCATACGTTCTTCTAATAGCCGTTCTGTGTCTCAGTGCCTGTGATAACACCATTATGATTAGGAAAGGATTATCCTCACCATCCGATGTTGGTAGTATGTTAAACGCTGTTGAATATTTGTTCAGTATGGCCTCGTTGTTTTCAAAATATGACCATGCAATGTGTGGCGTGTATTCGCGGAAGACCGGAACATATCTGAATCTGGGTAATGCGCGCACTCTTCTTTGTGTTCTTTTTCCATCAACTTCAACAACCTTCGTTCCTTCTCTGCCTTTGTCCTTGTGATTCACGGCTCTCTTTATCGACGTGAGTCTGTCTTTTCTCTTCCGTTTCAGGGCTTTCTTTATCGACGCGAGTCTGTCTTTTCTCTTCCGTTTTGGTGCTTTCTTTGTCAAGCTGAACTTATCAGATTGTTGTCCTTTGTTGGTTAACTTTATGGTTTTGTTTTCATCTGCAACAGATATGTGGCTTCTGTGAAAGTCGAGTTTCTTGCTACTTTCCCGGCTTCTAACATCCCTGTGTTTTGCATCTTGAATATGCCGGTCTGGAGCTTCCGTCGATAGCCAGAATTTCCAAACAAATATGTAAATAGTAATTAGAAGAATTCCAACGCTTGCATTAAAGCGCCAGTTTGTTCTCAACCTGGAACAAAAAGTAAGGTGAATCACTAAAGATAGTTCACAAATGCCTATACGCAGTATTACACAGGATCATTAACTTCTTCAACGTCCCTATTTGGTAGTAATTTAAAAAGCTCTCAATAAAATAGGACCTCTGCAATGGACTATGATTAAATTCATTATAATTATGGAAATGTGTATTTATCGCTTTCATATAATACTCATAAATAGAAAACTGAAGTAAAAACCTTTTCTTGGTCGTTAGTTCGAGTAATAGGTTTATAATTCATTACCAACGTTGGTCTGTGAGGACCATACCATTGGCAAGATGTTCCAACAAATTTGTAAACATCAACGATATTCGATGTTTCTCCACATGCACCTGACACATCAAAATACTCAATATCTGTAACGTGGCGTTCCAAATTAACGTAGAAGCCAGATGGCACTTTCTTCAGATAAACTTCATGTAATCATGCAATTAAAGACATATGTCAATAGGAGCCAAATCAAGCAATGAACCAAACCCGTAGTCAGAGTATAGCTTGTTACAAGCGCCAGTCAAGTAATGAACCAACCCCGGATTCAGAGTATAGCTTGATACAAGCGCTAGTCAAGTAATGAACCAGCCCCGTAGTCAGGGTATAGCTTGATACAAGCGCAAGTCAAGTAATGAACCAGCCCCGTAGTCAGGGTATAGCTTGATACCAGTGCTAGTCAAGTAATGAACCAGCCCCGTAGTCAGGGCATAGCTTGATACAAGCGCTAGTCAAGTAATGAACCAGCCAAGTAGTCAAGGTATAGCTTGATTCAAGCGCAAGTCAAGTAATGAACCAGCCCCGTAGTCAGGGTATAGCTTGATACCAGCGCTAGTCAAGTAATGAACCAGCCCCGTAGTCAGGGTATAGCTTGATACAAGTGTCAGTCAAGTAATGAACCAGCCCCGTAGTCAGGGTATGGCTTGATACAAGTGTCAGTCAAGTAATGAACCAGCCCCGTAGTCAGGGTATGGCTTGATACAAGCGCAAGTCAAGTAATGAACCAGTCCCCGTAGTCAGGGTATAGCTTTGATACAAGTGTCAGTCAAGTAATGAACCAGCCCCGTAGTCAGGGTATGGCTTGATACAAGCGCAAGTCAAGTAATGAACCAGCCCCGTAGTCAGGGGTATGGCTTGATACAAGTGTCAGTCAAGTAATGAACCAGCCCCGTAGTCAGGGTATAGCTTGATACAAGCGCAAGTCAAGTAATGAACCAGCCCCGTAGTCAGGGTATAGCTTGATTCAAGCGCAAGTCAAGTAATGAACCAGCCCCGTAGTCAGAATATAGCTTGATACAAGCGCTAGTCAAGTAATGAACCAACCCCGTAGTCAGGGTATAGCTTGATACCAGCGCAAGTCAAGTAATGAACCAGCCCCGTAGTCAGGTATAGCTTGATACAAGCGCAAGTCAAGTAATGAACCAGCCCCGTAGTCAGGGTATAGCTTGATACAAGTGCTAGTCAAGTAATGAACCAGCCCCGTAGTCAGGGTATAGCTTGATACAAGCGCAAGTCAAGTAATGAACCAGCCCCGTAGTCAGGGTATAGCTTGATTCAAGCGCAAGTCAAGTAATGAACCAGCCCCGTAGTCAGGGTATAGCTTGATACAAGCGCTAGTCAAGTAATGAACCAGCCCCGTAGTCAGGGTATAGCTTGATACAAGTGTCAGTCAAGTAATGAACCAGCCCCGTAGTCAGGGTATAGCTTGATACAAGCGTTAGTCAAGTAATGAACCAGAACCCCCGTAGTCAGGGTATGGCTTGATACAAGCGCAAGTCAAGTAATGAACCAGCCCCGTAGTCAGGGTATAGCTTGATACAAGTGTCAGTCAAGTAATGAACCAGCCCCGTAGTCAGGGTATAGCTTGATACAAGCGTCAGTCAAGTAATGAACCAGCCCCGTAGTCAGGGTATGGCTTGATACAAGCGCAAGTCAAGTCAAGTAATGAACCAGCCCCGTAGTCAGGGTATAGCTTGATACAAGTGTCAGTCAAGTAATGAACCAGCCCCGTAGTCAGGGTATGGCTTGATACAAGCGCAAGTCAAGTAATGAACCAACCCCCGTAGTCAGGGTATAGCTTGATACAAGCGTCAGTCAAGTAATGAACCAGCCCCGTAGTCAGGGTATAGCTTGATACCAAGCGCAAGTCAAGTAATGAACCAGCCCCGTAGTCAGGGTATAGCTTGATTCAAGCGCAAGTCAAGTAATGAACCAGCCCCGTAGTCAGAATATAGCTTGATACAAGCGCTAGTCAAGTAATGAACCAACCCCGTAGTCAGGGTATAGCTTGATACAAGCGCAAGTCAAGTAATGAACCAACCCCGTAGTCAGGGTATAGCTTGATACAAGCGCTAGTCAAGTAATGAACCAGCCCGTAGTCAGGGTATACAAGCGCTTGATACCAGTGCTAGTCAAGTAATGAACCAGCCCCGTAGTCAGATACAAGCGGTATAGCTTGATACAAGCGCATACAAGTCAAGTAATGAACCAGCCCCGTAGTCAGGGTATAGCTTGATACAAGCGCAAGTCAAGTAATGAACCAGCCCGTAGTCAGGGGTATAGTGCAGTTGATACCAGCCCCGTAGTCGCTAGATCAAGTAGTCAATGAACCAGCCCCGTAGTCAGCTTGATACAAGCGCAAGTCAAGTAATGAACCAGCCCCGTAGTCAGGGTATAGCTTGATACAAGCGTCAGTCAAGTAATGAACCAGCCCCGTAGTCAGGGTATGGCTTGATACAAGCGTTAGTCAAGTAATGAACCAGCCCCGTAGTCAGGGTATGGCTTGATACAAGCGCAAGTCAAGTAATGAACCAGCCCCGTAGTCAGGGTATAGCTTGATACAAGCGCAAGTCAAGTAATGAACCAGCCCCGTAGTCAGGGTATAGCTTGATACAAGCGCAAGTCAAGTAATGAACCAGAACCAGCCCCGTAGTCAGGGTATAGCTTGATACAAGCGTTAGTCAAGTAATGAACCAGCCCCGTAGTCAGGGTATACAAGCGCAAGTCAAGCTTGATACAAGCGCAAGTCAAGTAATGAACCAGCCCCGTAGTCAGGGTATAGCTTGATACAAGTGTCAGTCAAGTAATGAACCAGCCCCGTAGTCAGGGTATGGCTTGATACAAGCGCAAGTCAAGTAATGAACCAACCCCGTAGTCAGGGTATAGCTTGATACAAGCGTCAGTCAAGTAATGAACCAGCCCCGTAGTCAGGGTATGGCTTGATACAAGCGCAAGTCAAGTAATGAACCAGCCCCGTAGTCAGGGTATAGCTTGATACAAGTGTCAGTCAAGTAATGAACCAGCCCCATAGTCAGGGTATAGCTTGATACAAGCGCAAGTCAAGTAATGAACCAGCCCCGTAGTCAGGGTATAGCTTGATTCAAGCGCAAGTCAAGTAATGAACCAGCCCCGTAGTCAGAATATAGCTTGATACAAGCGCTAGTCAAGTAATGAACCAACCCCGTAGTCAGGGTATAGCTTGATACCAGCGCAAGTCAAGTAATGAACCAACCCCGGATTCAGAGTATAGCTTGATACAAGCGCTAGTCAAGTAATGAACCAGCCCCGTAGTCAGGGTATAGCTTGATACAAGCGCAAGTCAAGTAATGAACCAGCCCCGTAGTCAGGGTATAGCTTGATACCAGTGCTAGTCAAGTAATGAACCAGCCCCGTAGTCAGGGCATAGCTTGATACAAGCGTTAGTCAAGTAATGAACCAGCCCCGTAGTCAGGGTATAGCTTGATTCAAGCGCAAGTCAAGTAATGAACCAGCCCCGTAGTCAGGGTATAGCTTGATACCAGCGCTAGTCAAGTAATGAACCAGCCCCGTAGTCAGGGTATAGCTTGATACAAGTGTCAGTCAAGTAATGAACCAGCCCCGTAGTCAGGGTATAGCTTGATACAAGCGTTAGTCAAGTAATGAACCAGCCCCGTAGTCAGGGTATGGCTTGATACAAGCGCAAGTCAAGTAATGAACCAGCCCCGTAGTCAGGGTATAGCTTGATACAAGTGTCAGTCAAGTAATGAACCAGCCCCCGTAGTCAGGGTATAGCTTGATACAAGCGCAAGTCAAGTAATGAACCAGCCCCGTAGTCAGGGTATAGCTTGATACAAGCGCAAGTCAAGTAATGAACCAGCCCCGTAGTCAGGGTATAGCTTGATACAAGCGCAAGTCAAGTAATGAACCAGCCCCGTAGTCAGGGTATAGCTTGATACAAGCGCAAGTCAAGTAATGAACCAGCCCCGTAGTCAGGGTATAGCTTGATACAAGCGTCAGTCAAGTAATGAACCAGCCCCGTAGTCAGGGTATAGCTTGATACAAGCGCAAGTCAAGTAATGAACCAGCCCCGTAGTCAGGGTATAGCTTGATACAAGCGCAAGTCAAGTAATGAACCAGCCCCGTAGTCAGGGTATATGGCTTGATACAAGCGCTAGTCAAGTAATGAACCAGCCCCGTAGTCAGGGTATAGCTTGATACAAGCGCTAGTCAAGTAATGAACCAGCCCCGTAGTCAGGGTATAGCTTGATACAAGTGTCAGTCAAGTAATGAACCAGCCCCGTAGTCAGGGTATAGCTTGATACAAGCGTTAGTCAAGTAATGAACCAGCCCCGTAGTCAGGGTATGGCTTGATACAAGCGCAAGTCAAGTAATGTACCAGCCCCGTAGTCAGGGTATAGCTTGATACAAGTGTCAGTCAAGTAATGAACCAGCCCCGTAGTCAGGGTATGGCTTGATACAAGCGCAAGTCAAGTAATGAACCAACCCCGTAGTCAGGGTATAGCTTGATACAAGTGTCAGTCAAGTAATGAACCAGCCCCATAGTCAGGGTATAGCTTGATACAAGCGCAAGTCAAGTAATGAACCAGCCCCGTAGTCAGGGTATAGCTTGATTCAAGCGCAAGTCAAGTAATGAACCAGCCCCGTAGTCAGAATATAGCTTGATACAAGCGCTAGTCAAGTAATGAACCAACCCCGTAGTCAGGGT